AGGTTGGGATGTTAATCAGTCTAGAATTAACAGTATGCTACCCAACACTGGGAAAATAAATGGGAAAGTTAGAGGTAGAGAGAAAGAGAGAAATAACCAAGGAACGTGCTGGACGTGTTCCTCGACCCGGGGCTAAGTTAAACACAGCATAAGAAAACATAAAGGGTAACCCTTTAATCCTCATCACATTCATGTGAGAGACACAGATCGAATAACCGAGTAAAACTTAGAAAAAAAGAGCTGCTACTAGACGAGATTTCTCTACAGCATTGTAAGCTTTAAATATTCCAAGAGCCTGCATTGCGTGTCGCTTTTTGCTTCAAGATCACGGAAGAAATTGAGAATTCAAGTCACCCCAGTGCTTGCAGGCACCGCACGCACAGAATGCGGTCACCACCAGCGTCTACCTTAATAAAGCGTCTACCTTCCTACCTTGCAGCAGAGCCGTCTAAATCGCTCGGACAAGAGCAAGCAGATAACCGAGGTATTATTGGGCAACCAGTTTCTGAAGCTTTGTCTTCAGAGGTGCCTTTGAAGACGTGCGAAATTACCATCGTTCATGTATCGAATTTCCAGATAACCTTTCATCTGGCTCTCCTGATATTATGTAACCGATACCCTTACTTGAGTGGATGACTTGCGCGTGGTCTTGATAATTAATTACTTGCTCAAGTTTTGCTTCCCAAAATGACGGTATGACTATGAGGTACACCGTAGTGTATAGAAAAGCGAGCATTTCGACCACGTGGGATTGTTTATTGAGCATCTGAATTAAAGCCCACTGGTGTCAACCAGTTGGCCTCCATGCAGAGGCAGCCGCCGTTACCGGGATTCTGTGCCGTTGCTTTTGAGCGAGAAATTGTACACCAGAGCCACTCGACTAACGCGGTGAGTGCACGTAGGCATGACATTGGTATCAGAAGTGTATGGCATGTCAGATATTTTCGAATTTCTTAGCATCACATCAAGCACCCCTAGGTGAAATCTAGTTACGAGATTTTGATTAGCGGATAAAGCTATCAGGTAAATACACAATTAGGTCTTCAAGGGTGACACTGCAGAGTGATAGTCGGCCTTATACCCTTTATGCAGACTATGTATACAAATTTACGCCATCACCACATAGGTGTTACGGTATCCATGGACATGCATGGCTTGTGGGATGTGCAATAATGGTCACCAAATATGCGCAGTGAATGTCAGTTGAAAGTCGCATAACGCAATTGAACACTTTCTCTCTCCGCTTCCACTGCAGGCATTGAGAATAACTTTGTTTATAGGCGTTCAAGATAAGGGGTAATGAGATCGATGGGTGGAACCCCAGGGCGAGGGTTTCTGGCCTGGAACTCCACCCATGCATCGATTCCAGCCTGACGTGATGTAGGAGTGCAAGCTGCTCATCTGGGTCAGAGCTGGTGAACTGCCTTTCTATTGCTAGAGAGTATTAGCGCTTCTACTGTTCTAAAATCTACTTCTACTGTACAGTATCTATATTTAGTGGCCATATGAGGGACAGTCACGAAAAAATTTTTTAACGAGAACAAGGAAGGCAAGTCGACCTTAGAAGGTTTCTGCCTGCTACTCCTCGAGAAATATGACAGAAGGATGGTGGCTCGCCACACCATCTACAGGCATGCCCCTACAGCGCTGGGAAAATCTTGTTGAACCTTCGTATGTTAGTAAATCCCTATGTTTCGATCCTACGAAGGTCAATCGCGTTACCCATCCCTTTCTAATGACAAGAGGGGGTGTTGAATTCAAAGTTGTCGGTATACTCATGCACCACACTTTTGGAATGATATAAAACGGGATTTAAGCCAAATTAATTAATGTACTATCATTTGTATATTGGGTGTACAGTTGGTGCGATATCACTGTAATTTGTTTGGACTCGAGCACCATATATTAGAGCCGACAATATATACAATTACATGACGCAGTTGTCATGAAGAGTTGCTATTTTAAATCATTAATCTAAAATTATTGTAAATTCTCTACCGTGACAACCAGATAGAAGCGCCGCTTTTTGTTCCTGTTGTAGTGTCCATGTACGTTGAAGCTGGACTCCACATGGCAGCGTGACTGAGTCTACGGGTTGAGGAACTGATGCTCGAAAATTCAGCAAACGAAAACAAACAAGCTTAAAGCACCCGGCAACATTTCGTGCTCTGTCAGAAAACATTGCCCGATCAGTAACTGAAGCTTCCGAAAATACGTGAGTCAAACATCAAAGCAATATACGCTGCCTGGAATTTGCACACAGCTCTCAAAGACAGGTAAAAATCACTCCCTAATTGCTCTACAATGGTTTAGTATACTAAAATTACCGCTTTATACGCCCAAAGACTTTGCTGTCACCTGATTGAAGCATCCTGAGTTGCATAGTAGGCGTGGCCGCCGCAAGATGGCGCCACATGTCTGCGTGAGCCCACTGGAGTACATCGAAAGTAAGCTGCTTGTTCGAAAGAAAAACCGTCTCTGATCGCTCCTGCCCAGGAATCTGTATAATATGAAAATGAAAAGTGTCTTGACGGAGGCAGTCGAGTGCTTATTAAATGCGAAGCAAATATCTATCTATCTATCTATCTATCTATCTATCTATCTATCTATCTATCTATCTATCTATCTATCTATCTATCTATCTATCTATCTATCTATCTATCTATCTATCTATCTATCTATCTATCTATCTATCTATCTATCTATTTATCTGTCTGTCTGTCTGTCTGTCTGTGGTCTGTGTAGCTATCTATCTATCTATCTATCTATCTATCTATCTATCTATCTATCTATCTATCTATCTATCTATCTATCTATCTATCTATCTATCTATCTATCTATCTATCTATCTATCTATCTATCTGTCTGTCTGTCTGTCTGTCTGTCTGTCTGTCTGTCTGTCTGTCTGTCTGTCTGTCTGTCTGTCTGTCTGTCTGTCTGTCTGTCTGTCTGTCTGTCTGTCTGTCTGTCTGTCTGTCTGTCGTAATACAGGTTCGTGGTGCTCTCATCTTGGTATATAGTGCAACTTGCAGGACGTTGTATGAGTGGACGATGAACATGAACGACATGTCAAAACATCAATGACAAAATATGCATGTCATTTATCATGACTTAAGTGAGGACATGACATCATGGTGACAAGGTGGTCGTTTCATTACCTTGTCATATGACATTCTGGACATGTCATGGTGTGCCTGTATGACGAACAAGGGTGATGTGTCGTAAAAATCATATTCATAAAATTTATATCAGAACTTTACTGACCTGAGTGATATGACATTGATATCGCTAAGCCGTTGAGGTAGTTTAGTTAACGTGAGATGTGAGAGTTTGTGCGCCTGCGTGACAAACATGCAGTAGTGAATGACAATTCATGACATTCACGCATATCATAACGCACATGGTATGCATGCATTGAAATGAATGGGCTAGGTTACCATATATTGTTTGTCATTTCCTTTTTGTTGGTATGTCTGAATGCGCGTGAAATAAAGCTTAATACACGATGTACATACGATGACATGCTCCACATTTAATTTGTTCTCATATTATTAACAGCTACCAAATTGCCGTTTTGCATTGACTAATGAGGACTAATGATGTTCAACTGTTGAATAACACTGGATAACGACATAGCCAATTCGATGTGTTGGCTGATTCTGTCTACCTTAAGGCCAGTGGTGTCTGTCACCTAATGCGTACTAATTTGGCCTTTTGGGCTGTTAATTGGTGGCTAGTATCCTCAAGCAGTTACTAATGATACCACATAACCGTCGGATATTGTTGGCTAGTGCTTGTTAATACTGGTAGATCGTTGGCTGGAAGTTGACAACTATGGCTAACCATAGTATGTGCTCTACAAATGATATAAGATTGATTAGTGCACTATCTCTACCCGGTACGTGCGCTGTAAGTGCCAAAGTTTTAATTGCAGTACTTTAAATGTCACGGTAGTATTATACCTTGCAAACCTACTTACAACTGTGAAAATGTGTCCACGTCGGCGCATTTCTTCACTAGAGACACCGAGGTTTTTTTTTTGTCCATGTATTGGGTGGACTATGTAACACTAAAATGCAAGTATTGACACTCCATCATCCGCAGTGATGTGGTCTTGCTAACACAGCAGCCTCACTGAAGCCTTGATAAATTCAAGGCAAGAACAGTCACCACATGTTTCCTTTTGTAAGCTTTAATACCCGCAAACGTACCAAACTAATCGAGGAAAAACGTTCATTACAAAACATGATTCTTGAGCTCTGTTTCACATGGCAAATATCGTGCTGCATATCGTGCTGTAGATCACTCTAATATCGAAGAAGTCACGCGCACAAAAAAAAGAAAATACAGAGACAGATGCCCTTGGAATGTTCGGTAGGAGCTCCTAATGAAGCATGAGCAGAATTTGCAATAAAAATTTTAGTGAATCAAAACACAAAGCAGCACTTTGCGGATGTTTGCTTAACAATGAATATTTACTATAGCACATGGTATCGGCTTCACGAGAACCCATTCGCACGCTGAAAGCAAGAGTGATAGTACAAGAAGGGCATCATGAGGTGAAGCAAGCAGTAACACTAAATAAATAAACAAGGATCGAAGCTACATATAGCGTTCACCGCTGACCTGAGCGACACGAGAAGAAAGAAGGAGGTAGTGAGAATGTAGTGATAGTTGTTATACATATGCGTATGGGGATAATTTGGCTACCACAAAAAAGTAAGAAGGGATACAATAGTGAAGCAGGTACAAACGGTTAGTGTGCGTTCAATTTCAGATGAATGGTAAAAAATAACAAAGTATGCGTGACTGTCCTAGATTTTCGCACTCGCACTGAAGGAAAAAAAAAAGCAACGCTCTATTTTTTATATAGTAGGTACTGAAGTTTCCTGAACTGACTAAGTTGCACTGGCTGTAGTAGCGAACGAGTACATGTGTTACATCGGTGGAATTGACTGTTTCGCATCGCGATACAATTTGACTATGGCGAGGTGTTTCACTGAGGCTGTTTGAAGTTGCTTTATTGCGCGGGGCCTACTACTTCGCGGGCAGAGCGCCCGGGTTCGAGAAGAAGGCGTCGGCCGGAGCGCTGGGAGCGGTGCCCGGCTCGTTGGTGGACACGGAGGCACGGAAGCCTCCGGCGTCGGCGACGTAATCCACGCGGCGGTAGATGCCGAACGCGTCCGTGTAGCCGTACGAACCCGTGCGTGAGTTGGTCTCATCGCTGGTCTCCTCGTGGTAGTGGTGGCCACCCTCCACGGGGCTCACCGTGTCGTAGCTGAAGTGGTACGGCTGTGGAGCCTGCGCAGCAGTAACAGAGATGACAGAAGAGCAGTTATAGGTAAAAGTCAGTGGATAGATTCTGATCTGGAATATGCCGCGCGGCCGTTGTGATCTTGTGGCTAAGGTACTTGGCTGCTGACCGCAGGTCGCGGGATTAGATCCCAGCTGCGGCGGTTGCATTTCCGATGGAGACGGAAATGCTGTAGGCCCGTGTGCTCAGGTTTGATTTCACATTAAAGGACCCCTGGTGGTCGACACTTCCGGAGCCCTCCACTACGGAGTCTCTCATAATGCTATGGTGGTTTTAGGACGTTACACACCACATATCGATCAAATCTACAATATGGCCACTTGTAGGTCGGCGAAGACATTAGAGTTCACTCAGACTCACTCAAGATATGTGTATTGCTCCCAGGACTCACTCGGCCTCAGATTCAACAAAATTTCCCTCAACCAGACTCATTCAGATTCAGACTCGCAGTACTCTTTCTAGACCAGACGCACCCGCAATCAAACCAAACAGCATATTAAACAGCCAGACACACTCATGACTTCACCTGAATATCAGTCCCCCTGAGTGCGCCGACCTTAAGAGTTTATAACTTGTTCAACCTAGGTCTCAGTGCTCTTTAACGGCAATACCCAACGTCATGGGTGTTCTAGGATGCGCCTTTATATTTGGTACATTGAAATAAGAGTTACCAGAAGTTTCATTTCAGTAACGAAGTTTTTATGAAATACATAATTCGCACAAGATAATTAAACCGAAAACGTCTCATGAAAGACATTGTGGTGTGAGGTCATGGCACGTGGCACATCCCTTCTCAAATCATGCTGTGGATCATAATAAAAGCTAGCGCAATGTGAAGACATCTTTTAAATACTTGGGTACAAAACTTACGTCGATATAACTCAAGCAGTACGGCTGAAGATGAGTGGATAAGAATAAATCTCAGCGATGAAAGGTGGAGTTTACGCTGACTCACAAACGAAATTTATTCGGCGCTTATGGCTCACTCTAACTCAGACTCATCAATGTTTAACTCAGCCGAACTAACTTCGGCTCAGACTTACGATAGCTTTGCTCAGGTGAACTCACTCGGACTCAAACTCACCAAAAATATTGTTCACCCGGACTGAGTCTGATCAAGTTGACTCATGCGCGGATTCGCCGAGCAATGTTTAGAAAACCAATACCACTCGTGCTAGGTGCAATAGTTGATCAATAAAAATGTGCATCTGTTTGAGTGTCATCGTTTTCTTGTATACTCGTATCAGCGATGAAGGCATTGCTTCGTGGAGGGAATAAGGTGAGCACGTCTCGGTCTTAAATAGAAGCCTGGCAAGCATAAGCATTAGAGTGTCGTTCTGTCTTGCATCACATGGCATAAAAAATTGGCAGACCCCACGTGCAGTGGGAATCGATAATATGCGAAGCACGAATGAGGAACGGTGATAGGTCACTTTAAAATCAGCCCAACGTTGCGAGCCGGAGATAAATTGTGCCATACATGACTTCCATGTCATTATTACCTTACTTGGACGTGTCATTTACCTTCGTAGTCTACTCACGTCACCTCGAACTAAATTTTGTATATGTGGAGCTAGCGAAAGGGCCCCGCGAGCGGCCCATAAGCGTAGCATGTAGTCACGTTTTACATGACATGCATATAATGAGTATCATGTTTGGGCCTGTCATTTACTTTCGTATTCTGTTCACGTCACGTTATACCAAATTTGGTATATGTGGAGCTAGCGAAACGGCCGCGAGCGAATCATGAGCGTGGTACATTGTCATGTTCTTACATGACACGCATGTCATAATTATCTTGCTTGCACCAATCATATACGTTCCTCATCCATTGATGCCACGTAACACCAAATTTGGCATATAAGGAGCGAGCCGAATGGCTGCGAGAGCATTATGAAAGGCTCAATATTCTCCGACGTAACGTTGACGAGCGCTCAGGCTTGGCGCAATGACGCTACGCTAGCGAAATGTAACCGGCAACCGGCGCGAAATGCAACATGCTACATTTCGCACCGATTACGTTACGCAGCTCTACCCAGACAGCACTTCGTCTGCCTCCCTTCGTGATGGAGGGACGCCGGGCACTCAAACGCGCATGCGTCAAAGCAACGCAGCGTGGCGCGCACTTGCGAGTATATGGCAGGCAGATCGGCGCCTTGCGCGGAATCGCCGGCTCGACGCAACGAAACGGAACGAACGCCGGCGCGCACGCGTGCAGGGTTCACGTCGAAGTGTATTGGCGCCTTGAGTGCGGCATTTAGTCGTGTTCTTACGTGACGCGCATCTCATGATTATCATGTCTACACCTGTCACATACCTTCGTCATCCAGTCACGTGACGTAACACCAAATTTGGCATATGTGAAGGTAGCGAAACGGCCGCGAGCTCATCACGAGTGTGGCATGTGTTCATGCTCTTACGCGACACGCATGTCATGATTATCACGTTTGGACGTGTCGTTTACCTATGTATCCGTTCGCGTCACGTAATACCGAATTTGGTACATGTGAAGCTAGCTAAATGGCCGCGAGCGCATCATGAGCATGGCGTGTAGTGATGTCGTTACATGACACGCATGTGATGATTTTGATGTTAGGGTCCGTCGCTTGTGTTTGCCATGCAATCATGTCATACCGTACCAGTTCTGCAACATATCATGTGAATAAAACCACCGCAAGAGCAGCAAGAGCGTAACATGTAAATCATTGCATTCATGACATATATGTCAGAAGTTTCATGTTATGACTAGTCATTTATGTTCGTCATACAGTCATGACAAATCGTACTAAGTTTGGTATCGATGCCATTAACCAAACGGCCAGTAGAGCTAAAAGTAGTAGGCGGCTAGATAGATAGATAGATAGATAGATAGATAGATAGATAGATAGATAGATAGATAGATAGATAGATAGATAGATAGATAGATAGATAGATAGATAGATAGATAGATAGATAATGGGGAGCACCCGCATGGTGTGCCATCCTCTGGCATAGCCAAGACGTATTACATGGGACACGTCGTCAGCGACTCCACCATCATCACTTATTTGACCTTAATTAGCCTCGGATAACAATATTATTGACTCGCTTCATCATTGCACATGTACTTGACCGGCGACCTGTTGCGGTATAATAAACTGGTAACGAAACCCTACGCGAAAGTTCGAATGGTGTTAAATAATAAATATACAAATGGCCGATTTACCATTTCAATTTCCACACTGATATACGCACCAAATTAGCTCAACAATACGGTTATAACAAATTACTAGATCCATTCGCTGTTTTTTTATCATCTGCATTATCAATACAATGATAATCCCAGCCTTCCTCATCTGCAGCAGTTTTTTATCGAAAATTTATTGATAAACGTGGCCTGAGAGTTCAAAAGCGTCACCCAGTTCAAACGGCCACATTAAATTGTAACGTTAGTGTTGATCGGTGCTGATTTCATTGCAGGTGTTCGTTATAAATTATAATGTACAATTTTTTTTTCATGCCACCGATATCTTGCCTTGTCCGTACATAGGTTAGACATTTGGCACACTTAACCTCCCTGTTCTTCCTTGCATCTTTATCTTTCTCTTTTTTGGCACACTTACCAAGATTACGTTCTTGCTAGAGGTGAAATTTATACTCAGCCATTAGCCACTTCAGTGTACATCAGTTTACAGTTCTAGGCATGAAAATATTGCCTATATTATAAATTAGGAATGAAATGGCGAAGCTGAAAAAAAAATAGTATTCACTGAAGCTCTCATAGCAATTATACATACACATATTTATGTATGGCACATCACGTAGGTTAGATCCCTTATGGGAATGAATTTTGCATTTTTAACAATGCTCTGGAAAGGAGCTAGATGACGCGTTCAATTACACTTACGTAGAAGGGCTCTTGGTAAACGAGCTGCGACATGGCGCAGGCCACTATACTGAGGAAGATGAGCTGAAAAAGAAAAAAAAACATTGCATTTATGGTACACATAATTTTTATTGATTAACTTTGGTATTTTCTCGCGCGACTTGAAACTTCCCCGCGTTGGGCACACTGCTAGTTTTTCATGAATTCCGTAGCTAAGACTGGGATGCATCTTTGATGTTCACCCAAATCTTCCGTTTTTTTTTTTTCATTAGAGCTTGCACCGTTCTGATATGACACGAATATACAATTGCGTTTGTGAAATTCATTTTGATGTTTGCGTTGTCGTGCGTTGTATAGTAAACGCCACAACATTACTGATGCAATAACGTACTCTCTCGTGCTGATCATTCAGTTTAGATTTGTTTTGCCTATGTATCTTTCTCTATACAGCGCGTGCGGACGGCTAATATAATGGCCGTTCCCCGGCATAACATCCATTGAATTTCACATATTCAGAGATGAAGCTAACCAGTCTTAGCCAGAGCTTACGTCTACCCAATGTCGCGCATGGCTCGCAAACACTCAAAGCAAACACTTGAAATATATGATTTGTTAGGGTGAAATGAGGTATTTGTGACCAATTCGTAATGTGACGAGCTACATATTTGTCACATCAGCACTAGGAAAAAAACATGAAATTCTCCAACTATCTTAATTTATGTAGAGCATAACGAATGCTTGTTAACTCAAATATGTTAAGGAGACACGTTCCTTGAAACAATAATGCTGCGTGATTCGAACAACAGTTATGGGCAGTACAACCGGCCTGCGACGCAGCAGAGAGACTGGATCTTTTTGTTCCGACGTGGGAGCGGCTCGCAACGTGCTAAAGCGCGTTCCGAAGGACCAAGTAAAGTTTATCCATCCATCCACGTAGCCAGTATAAAAAAAGAGAATATTTTATCCGTTGATATGTTTTCTTCTTCGTGATTTACGGTATGCAAGCAATTCCAAGTAATTTGTTAATGTTGAATGAATTCCGGAGAAATGACATTGCTAAATTGTTGTGAACCAATAGTTGTCGGAAATGTTATTATGAAACCATTAGTACCACTACAATAATGAAGTGCTTACAAACAATTAGGTGTGTACAACATAAAAAATATGTCTGGAGTACCAATAATGATCTTAAATACCACATAGAACAATGATTACTGGGAGAAACTGTTCTATCGATTAATACAACATTGTGGCTTTTCCTATGCAAGAGCTACACAGCAAGTGAAGAAAGCGCTTTGATTGGTGCATGAAAACATCCTCCCGATCAAAGCAAATCATGTGCATGTGATTATAACGTAGATTATTTAAATAAAAACGACCTGCATATGTGGCATGCTGTGGCATGCAAAGGCTACGCAGGTTGGCTGAATGCGATGGTTTTACCTTTAAAAAAAGGTGAGACTAGCATAGATAATCTCTGATAAGAGGTAAATTTGCACTGCCAGTTGTCCCTCAGTGAGTATCGCAAACGGTGGTCATGTGATGATGTTAGTGCCCTTGATTTAGCTGTAACAAACAATATTTTACAGCTCCTCAGTCGACATTGAACCAACGTACCATTCGAAGACTAGCATCACACATTTAAGGTGATCTTAGTTTAAAATTGTCCCCTTAATTGACGCCACACATGTGGAAATTAACTAGCAATTATTACAATCAAACTTTAAACTCCACCCAAATCAGCGTAAGCTCTAAACAACTACGCGTTTGTGATAAATGGGAATTGTCATTTGCAATTACAAAAATCTGAAGCGTGAG